TCTGCTGGCGGAGGAAGAGGACGTTGGTTTTTAGGTGACCCGTCAGGCCAGGGTGTGTGAGGAGCTCTGCAGGCGACAGCTCTGCTCCGCTCTACTCTAAATGATAACACGCAGCTGACGGGGCAGGAAGGCAGCAACTCCACGAGGACCGTGTTTTTCTGCAATTCCTGTACGGGCCTTGCTAATTATAGCAGTTTTCCCCCAGGTCCGTGGCCGTGGCTGCGTTGCCCCTTGGTCTGGCTGGCTCCTTTTTTCTGGTTCATTCTGTCCAGGCTATTTTGGTTGCAGAAAGTCAATGACAGCACTGTCAGGGCTAGTGGAAATGCGTTTGGGGGACAAAGGGAGATGGAGCATATGCCCCAGGACAAAGTAAAAGAAACTGTCCAGAGTGAATTAGTTTCCTTTTTCTTCTCCTCCTGTTAGTGAAAGGATTGGTTTTGGAAATGTCTCATTTTGTTTCATTTCTAAATAATGCTTTCTCTGTTGTTGGTGGGGTTTTTTATTTACACTCATTGCAGATCAGCATTTTTAGCTTCCTTTTTTTTTTTTTTTCTTCTTCCTCCTCATCAGCAAGAATATTAACCACTAAAGTGAAAAAATATATGTTTGGGAATCCCGGAAGAGAATATTTGACTTTCTGAAAATATACAAGTCTTCCCTGGGTTTGTTTGGGCTATTTTCTCTTGAGTTTGGCTTTTACTACTCCATCCCTGGATACCGTGGAGTTGACATTTGTTTATCTTCACAAAGGAGAAACCTATTTCAACATGGAATATTAGCAGTTGCGGCTTGCTGTCAGTGCAGCATGCAAGCGGTGTTGGTAGAACCTACCAAGAGCAGGTAGACACTGGAGCCTCTTTTGAGTAAATTCTCAGATGAAATGGTTATAAAGACCACAAGACTAATCTATTTGGAGGACACATTCCAGTTAGCTTACAAGATATGTGAAAGACACCCATTCACTTTTTCAGGGCGGGAATTCATCTGAATCAACTAACTTCAGAATGAGGTCTTTGAGTCCAACGCTGAGGCTTCTTAAAAGAGGCAGTGATGAAACCTCATTTCCATACCTGGCTCTCTTTCTGTTTATGAGGTTATACACCTACCTGCAGCTGGAAGAGCTTTATGAAAAAAAAAAAAAAAAGATTGAAGCAAATCAATCAAATTAATGGTTTATGTATTGCAAAAGAGAAGAAATTCAGAGGAAGTTTATGTGGCTGGCTGACATACCTTTTTAGTTCAACCTAAATGATTGCAAAATATATAAACATATACATTTCCGTGTCTTAACAAAATATGGAGTCATGGGAGAGAAAGCATAGGAGATGTCTGTAAATTGGTGATTAAGGTTACATCTATCTTCCTCTAGGCTTGATCTGAGAGTTGGTCGTTAGATCTCTCTACAGCCATCTATTCAGTCCTCTCATTGCTAGTCCAACAATCAGCTCCAGCTGCTCCTCTACATCTTCTGTTCGCACTGATCTTGGCTTTCTCTTCCTTTTCCCTTTCATCTGTGGTTCCTTCTCTTGGCAGCCCATTTCTCTTTAAGCTGGAGGTTCTCATCCTTTCTGAATTGTGCTGACAAGTTTGCTAGTAGCTGGTCTTCTCTGCTACGCGGTCTTGTCTTCATGGGGAAGTTCATGGCTTCATATTTTTCCCCATAATGTCTAAAGATTCATAATTGCTAAGAAGGAAAAAGAATAGAAACGATCACCCTTGCATCCTCTATAATGAACTACAGGAATTTGTGTTTCAGAGCATGCTTTACTATAATCTCAGTGAACATTTTGTCTCTCTGTCTTTGGACCAAAGAAAACACAAGAAAATTCCCATTGTTTTTCATCTCATTTCTCAATTACTAGTAAAGCAGCACACCCTTATGCGCAGGCCTAACATCAGTCCATTCACAGGCCAGGGTGTGAATAGCACTAATAAAAGAAAGCTTGTGTCATTTGATTGTGTGTTCTCAGCCTTACCTGTGAACCGAGGAAAGAAAACAAGGTTGTAGTACCGGGAGTTGGGAAACGGGGTTATAGGTGGGATAGAGAAATGTGAGATACAATGGTACTCTCTGGCAAGGCAGTAGAGCAGAGAGGAACTTTCAATATTGCCTCAGCATAATTGAAAGGGTTTCTCTTTTAATATTTAGACATCTATCAAGAAGAGTAAACTCAAGGGCTATTTGGAGTGTGCACACTGAATAAGTCATCACTGTTGTGCTGGAATCATTTGGAGAATTGGAAATTATCAGCTTGATAGCATTTTTTTAATAGCTCAGTAGACAAGCAGTTGATTCGATAAATATTTAAAAATAAACCAAGTGAGCATTATGCATTCATGTCAGTCAAATAATGTTAAAATAATTTCATAGTCACAGAACTCCACCATATTGGCTGGCAGGAGAAGAGATCTTAGCTTGAAGGCTTGAAGTTGTAGGGGAATAAATCTCCAGCATAGGAGTTGCACTCAGGAGTTACAGCAGTAGGGCACTGCTCAGACCTTTGGGCTTACACGTTCAGTTCCGAGATGAAACTGGAAAAAAGCCAGTGACAATGAACGTAGATTTCCCAATACCTTGAAAAAGAATATTGTCATTTCTTCCAGGTTTATGGAAAAACAGTTGGCTTCTCTCAACTCAGCCAGGGTTTTGTCTCATGTGGGCTTTAAAAATTCTTAAACATCGAAATAACGCCCATCAGTATATTTAGACAGATGAAATAAAGCACTGAATGGGGATTGAGCACACTGCTGCTGTTACACCACAGGCTGTGCCCTGCTGAAGCGCTGCTGCTTGCACCGCTGGCTCTGGAGGTAGGAGACAGATTTCGGCATCCAAATAAGCCGTCTCTGCATCACACCACGGTGTCAGGTTGGGCTTCTTGTTTTGCATGTCTGTTTCTAAAAATATATGTTGTTTGTCAGGATGATGTTGAAAGATGGTTCAGAAAGGCTGGACCTTGGTATAGTCCCAAAGGCTGAACATAGAAATGGGGATGGCAGCAGAGCAAGCTGAAAACTATCTATTAGAGAGGTCTTGCTCCCTTTCCCAGCCATTGCAGTTTACTGCCTTTCCTGGTGCTGACCACACCTCAGGAGGCCTTTATTGCTTCTGTCGCCTCCATCCTTGCGGCAGCTGTGGCAGGTCTTGCTTGAAACATGTCACCTTGAAGAATCTCACATACCCTGTGCTGACACAGTCCCAACACCTCCTTGCCCTCCATCACTGCCATACCCCTATGGTTTGGCTACAGCCAACGTATGTTTTTCTTGATGTGGATGCCACACTCACAAGAAGATAGAGGTTGCGTATGAACTCCATATTGCCTCACATAAGATTTATATTAATTATGTATAATAATATATAATTATACATTATATATATTTTATATACCTACACAATATAATGACATAATAAAAGTACACATTTTATGAGCCAGTATTCAGTTCATATGCAGACAAACTGTGTGTATTAATTAGATAAAATTACATATAGTATTTCTAAATTATGCTATATAGGTCATCTTACATAATTAATATATATTATTAGAGATAATAGTATGCATTAATTACACAAAAATAATTACAGAATTGGGTTTAATATAAATACTGAGTTCTGTTGAGACCCAGCTTTCATAATTGCCTGTGATGAGTATCCACAGAGGATGGAAGTAGAGCTATAAGCTCAGTTTTCACTCTCAGATTTCCACACGCCCTCTGTAGAAATGGTGTGTGCCCATTCCCATGTTGGGTCCAGAAATCTGACATCTACAGAATCTCAGGTACTGAAACATATTCAGAGCCAACAGCATAAAGATCCCCAGCATAACACCTGCCCCGATACAAAATGATGCTGCTCTGTAAACACTGGGGCTTTCCTTCAGCTGGCATGTTTCTTACCTGTTCACATTCTGCTTTGGCGCGTTGGCAAAGCAGTCAGAGTGATTACAGGACACTCCCAGGGCTGCCTATGTGTTGTTTGCATTTTACACCCTCTCTTACCTCGCACTTATTTCACAGCATGCAAATAAGCAGCCAAATACTTCTGTGAAACAAGGAAGCCCCGACTAAAATCTGTGACTGTGATTTTTTAAAGCTTCAGGGAGGAGGAATCAGAGGATCACTGGAATTCCTCTGAGAGGGAGGAATCAGCAGTATTACAAATTTCTTTCCTTTGCAGGGGGTGGAGACATAGAAACAGGTGAGAGGAGGGGCTGGGAATTTTAATAAATCCATTTCTGCTGGCGCTAAGCAGCTTTCTTCACGTGTTAGTATCAGGACACACTGCCAAGGCAGCACTGAGCGCACCGGCACTCCCACGCCGCGAGCCATGATAACGCTTCGTTTGGTGTAAGGTCTGTCAGCTCAGTGTTCAGTTTGCTTTCAGAAAGAATTAAACAGCTGACTAAAAATGACAAGGAAAAATGAACTTAAAGAGGACACTAGAACAACCTTGAAACACGTTTGAAACCCACGCTGTTGTGACAGACTGCGTCCTGTGTGTGTGCATGCATGTGCATGAGAATTTACGAACACGTATAACGTTAATTACCCACTTCTGTCCTGAAGCAAGGCTGGGAATGAATTTCAGGAAGAGAGATGTTTGTTTTGCGCGGGCGCCCATATCCCATCTACTTTCGCTCCCGAGGAAGTTGCCCCGTATCTCCACCCTGTGTACGCTCGTGCCTGTAGCTGTAGGCAGTAAGCAGAGAGAAGACACGGAGCTTACGGAAACCCGTGTACCCCCGTTCCTCTGCGTCCCGCAGCATGGAAAGCCTGACCAGCAACGAGCCCAGGGTTTATCCGCTGCTCCTGCCTCAGCTGAAGCCGTACAGCTGTTGCCTTAGTAGAGAAAGGGATTGGATTTCACAGGCTGTGTAATCTGCGACAGCGCTCTTTGGCTTGGGGATAGCAACAAGCCTCACCCAGGCTTAGCCATCCCCTTTCTGCCCGTAGAGGAACGCCCCGGTCGACATAGAAGGAAAATTGTTTGCTGAATTTCTGCACAGCCCTCCTTCCAATTGCTGGAGAGAGAGGGGGAGTGTGAAAGAGAGAGAGTTTAAGGCAGGCTCTGCACTGGTGTTCTGGGCTATTTCAACTTCGGGGCAACTTTAGAGAACTTCAGTTATTTTTGGTAAGTTTTTTTTTTCTTTTTTAAAACAAACCCCTCTCTCTTTCTTTCGTTTTAATCTGTGATGCAGATTGCTCAAGTTTGCAGTAGGTGATGGGCTTTTTTAAATTGCAGAGAGATGTGGGTGTGTGTGTTTTGCGTCCTTTGATGCAGAAACTGGACATTCTGATTATAAAGACATAATGTTCCTTGAAACCTGAAGATGCTGTGTGTTAAGTGATACCGCTGGGGCAAAGTGTGGCCAGAACTTCAGCCAAGGTGCATCCCACCTGGTGTAAAGCTTTGTCTCTTTCTCCTGTGGGAAGAAATGAGATCAGGGATGAAGGAATGTGTTCAGCCTGCTAAAAAGTTTCTGATCTATGCCTTTAATGCAGGGGTTTCAAACTTGTGCACTAAACCTCCCAAAGCTTTCCGAAGGACGTTGGTTCTCAGTGCTATACACACCCCTCCATTCAGTAATCTCTATTCCAGATCACGCACGTTGTTTTTCCTACTTCCTCTGTCTGTATACTTAACCCATCGTACTATCTCAAAGATAGTGAAACTCTCTTTTGTAGTACAAAGAGACGTAGTCCCAGTTGTTGCAATGAATTGCAAGGTGCAAATTGCAGTTTACTTATAGTGAAGTTGGTTTGTGATGAATATGAGTTTTCTGCCATTTATTTTCCCAACAGATATGTTTAGATTTTTATAGTATCTGTGCTTCTACGAGAGGAACTCTATTTGTGTTGATATGATATCTCAATAGATACCATTTGCAATATATATATCTACCATAATATACTGACTTGACACTAGGATCTCTGTATGTTAGTGGTATTTGAGACTAAGATTAACCTTGAAGCATTTAAAAAACGGGTCCATAACCTTGTCAGAAGTGGGATCCTGTATATGTTCACTGCGAGGCTGGTGAGGCTAGTTCACAAAATGCTAGGAGATCTTTCTGTCCACCTGTCTAGGCTCTTTGCCCCATCCACATATCTTAATATGTTTCTGAACACATGAATACAGATGATCAGAAGTAGGATTTGTATCTGTAGCCACCTGTAGAAAGGATGAAAAGTACATTTTCTTAAAGCTTTAATTACTTACATGAGAAAACACCAAAACTCTACCCCTCTACAACAAAAATAGCCATTCTTCTTTACAATTTATGAAAGAAGAAACACAGAAAGTTGAAAGGTGACTATTAAGAGATACAGTACTTAGCTTACGATCACCTGTTGCATGTATGAAGGAAAACTTTTAAGTATTGCCTTGCTGTATCTCTTACTATAATAAAGAAAAACTATAAGGAATTTTGCAGATCCAAGCAAATTAGAGGAAGAGCAGCTTACAACAGCCAATTTACTTCCAAAATCTATCCTGACATAGGTCAAAAGTCCAGCATGAAAAAGTTTCAGATGTTTAACAGCACAGGAAAACATATCACCTCTCAGAATTTATTGGGTTTTATTAGCTATGTTTAAAAATGATAAGTGTGACTGGAGCTTTTAATTGCAGTAACTCTATAACAATGGAGTTAACAATAACTCTTCAGCAATAAACTGAACACTATAAATCTGCGCGAGGCGCTCTGCAGTGCTGACATGTTCCATGATGTCTGTAGCTTTTCTGTGGAAGCATGTAGATTTGTTAGCTAAAATTGCATTTTACTATCTTTGGTGTGGCACACTCGTAAAGTAAACTCTACTATTAGATTATGAGGCTTGTGTAAATCTCCGACTGAAGTTGGTTTGACTCTAGTCAGTGCTCATAAGCAATCCATCGAGGATGGCTGCCTTCCAAGCTCCTCTGCAGCGGGTGTTAACGACTTTTCAGTCAGACGGGGCAGCGGAAACTTCTAGCACTGATTCGCCAGGGGTTTGGAGATGGCGTGTATTTTCTGCTTTTAATTGTCTTGGACACTCAATCTGTATTCACAACTATGAGGTCAACGTGCCTCTGTTCACTTTTGGCTGTACTTGAAGCTCATCACTGAAAGAAAATCCAACAGTCTGTCATGGTCAGGGGAAGAGCTATGGTCTGAGTTAACCTCCTGTTGACTTCAGTGGGTTCAGTGCCCCATGCTCGGTGCGAAGAGGCTGTGCTCGGAGCACCTTGCTCCGGGGAGCCACACCAGGAACTTCACAGCCGCTTTACTTAGCGTTGTCACTGTGAGTGGAAGGAGTAAAACATACAGCATTGGGATCTTACTGAAGTATTGTCTTCTATGAAGCCACAGGAATGTATGTTCCCTTGGTTTGAACCTCTAAGGATGCATAGAGGTTTGTTGTTGTTTTTTTTCCCATGAGTTTTCTACTAGGGCAAAGAAGTCAGTGCGTCGTACGCAAGTGTAAAACACTGAGGGATTTAAGTAAGACTTTTTCCAGGATTCCTCACATCAGGAGACCTACACAATCAGAATATAAGGCAGTGTATTTGAAAGGTGTGAGAGTTACCGGCCTATATTCTGCGTAAATAGTTGAGTAAATAGATTCAATCTATTTTTTACATCTAGCTATTTTTGTATTCCATAATGTCCCTCACATCAGGGAGCAGCAAAACATGCACTGGAAAAATCAAGGTTTCCACCTCTGGAAAAACATCTCACTGTGTTTCTGGGCTCCATGTTGCAGGTTCAATCCAAACCAGTAAGGTTGCGAAAGACCACAATGTTAGCCCAGCTCTGTGCGAGGAGGGGACCTGGCCCTCTGCACCGGCATAGGCAGATCGAGCAAGAGCGAGCTTTTGCTTTCAGGCAGTTTGCCACGTCCCTGAGCCCTAGTGTGCTAAGAAACTGTTTTCCTGACAACATCATCTAACTACTACTGCCTTTCCTGCTTCCCTTAGCTGTAACTTCCAATCTGCCTAGCAGGCTTTTCCCTCCAAAGCCAAGTGGTGGAGCAGCTCCCAGCGATGTAGGGGATTCAGCTTCTGATGGAGCGAAGATTAAACCTTGCCAAGACTAGGTTGCCATCTCTCCACATGTGACAGAAATTAAGACAACACTCTTGTGACAAGAAAGATTCTTTGGATGACCCACAGCTGTGCCTAACCCCGGTGTGGGAGGATTACAGCTGTACCTAGGGAACCTTGCTAAATCCATGTGTTTGCCCATCTCGCTCCAGATTTTAAAGTCAAGGCTGGAATTCATTATTTTATATTGGAAAACAAAACTTCAGGCTAGGAGGGGATCTTGCACATACTAAGTACTTCCTACCAACATGTTTACTTCCTGAAAGGAGGCTATAGGTAGCCAAATATCTGGAAGTAACTGCTGACTCATTGCAGAGAATGGGTCTACAGTTTTCTATCAGAGAAGAGGAACCCACGAGTTCACCATCCAAATCTCACCAAACATGTAGTCCGGAGTGACCAGAACAAGTAAAAATATTTTAAGTTTATTATGGCATGTAAGTAATAAATAAGGCTAGGTAACTGATAGGGGACCCATCTGCTCCCATGGCATAGGGACAGCAGCTCTGCAAGGAGCGAGTCGCAAGCCACGGTAACAGCCCAAATCCCAGTGAATTTCCATGGAG